TGGTCAGAGGGCGGGATGGCAACCCAACCGATGGCGTCTGAGTCCGGAAGGTGACCTTCAGCACTGTCACCAATAACACACGAGTGACACTTTCTCTTAATCCAGAAATCGACTGCCATCTTTTGCTTGACAAAGATCATTTGTTGGCCAGTTAGGTGAGCATGGATCATATGGCCAGTATTCAGCCCTCCCACTCTCTTCTCCTGCCATCACTTGTTAAAGGAAGAGGAATGAATTTGCAACAAAAAGGGAGTTAAACCTGCAGGCAGCCGTTTTAATCTTGATGACAGCGGTGCATGTCTTCATACAATGTCTTTGCCAGACGTGCTCAATATAGGTTTCAAAAAGTAAGCTGTTGATTCTTAAAAGGGAAGGCCTTTCACCTTCTACAGAAATAAAGAGCTTTTAGGGTTTAAATATGTACAGTCAGAAAAAAGTCAGACCACTTGGAAGAACATTGCAGATGTAGTATTTAATCCTGCTCCATTTAATTCTTAATATGTTGAAGCTAATATGGGTTTAACTAAATCCTGCATTAAATACCCTAGATACCATTCTGTTCATACTCAGAATAAATGCATCTTGAAGCCACATAGTGCCATGGCAGCTTAGAGGTGCTGAAGCATGGTTTGTCAACAGTTGTATGTACCTTGCCTCTTCCAGTATCTCTTGCTTTTACTAAACTCAAGATCATTTAGTTTGGCAAACTGGAGCACATTTTACCTAAAATGGAGAGGTACATACATGTAGTAGGTTTCTTTTATCCTTTTTATATAAATAAGAAAAGTTTGGAAGAGAAACTTCATTAGTAAACTGCAGAACCTTTATCTCAGATAAAAACAGCCACAAAACTGAATCCCAATAATATGCATCTCCTGATTTTAAGTACAAGGCGTTTTAGGTGTGGGAGTTTATTTACTACAAAAACAATCATCTGTTTGGGCTTTTGTTTGCTTCTCCACAATGAGCAAGGTGTCAGTTATCAGTGACATAGATCTTAGCTAATTTGAATTGAGAGATACTAAAAAAACTCTTGGTGATTAGCCTTTTTTTTTTTTTCTACACATGCTACAGTAATAGATATTAAAATGCATGTTAATATACTTAAAGGCATGCAATTATAACTTTTTTTTTTTTTTTTAAATGTATGCCGGACAGGTGATTCGCTGGGTTTAGACAACATGTAAAGGCAGGACATGTCATTTTTAAATAATATGGTTATTGATCAGGCTCTTTTTTGCCTCCTTTCTACATTCCTTTTGATGTAACCAAGGCAAATTGGATGGTCTGACATGAACTGAGATAATACGGATGGGACAAAAACACAGGAAGGGAACTGTATTGATGATCTGCTTGGATTTGATTATTAACTTTTTTTTTTTTAAAATCACCAGAAAGTCACATTCTAGGAAAGAATGACTTGTTGAATTCCTGCACTTCATCACCACCAAGAAAGGATCACCATAGCAACAGGAAAAGAAAACGCATTGTAAGAATACTCACAAGCTGAACAAGATAATGGTTTAAGATAATGTCCCAGTAGCATGGCAAAATGCCAGCCAGGGGTGGGGAGGGAGGAAAGTGTCATTTTTACAATGACAAAGAAATTTAAAAAGAATTAATATTGTAAATGCGAAATATATGTGAATTCAAGGCTAACAGAAAGCGCAAGACAATGAACTGAGAAGCTGTATGGCTCATTTGTCCAGGGAGCAAATCAACAAGGTTTCGTATTGATAAATGCCTGAACTTGTCTCTAAGGGTCAACTGCAAGTGACTGATGTGTGTCTTTATGATTTTCCCTTCAGCCTCTCTGTTAGGGGATCCAAAATGTTTTGCAGCTAGCAGGAGGTATCCACGCAGCAACTACACAGAAGAGTTTACGGCAAACATTTCGTGCAGGTCACCCGTCAGGCAGAACCTGCTTAACATCTAGTAATTATCCATAAGGTCTGATCCAGCACTGCAGTTTAGAGGTGAAAGGATCGTTACATTTGCCGTCTGGTGTATCTGTTCTATTTAGACACTCATCTTTGATCTCCTCCTACAACATTTTTCAATCCTCAACGTTCAGTTCCACAGTATTTGAGAAGCAAAGCTACAAATCTACACTTAACTCAAAATATGAATCAGGATGAATGTAGAGTATGTCACTGAATGAGATTTAAACCTTATGATACTCGCCACAAAATTTTTCCTGCTTTTTTTCTTTTCACTACAAACCAACTGTCCTCAACTCTGATGTTTTGTTAAGATCTATTTAAAATTAAATAGGTGACATAACAACAAAAATTACAGATAAAAACATATTTGAAATGAGAAACCCTGTACATAGTAACTGCTGCTTTCAAAGCCATGTTCTTTGCAACCATTTCTTTGTGGCAGAGTGTGTGTGGCTTTTGCTTTAGCACCACTACAAGTGTTCCTGTGAATTTCAAAAGGGCTTTTTGTCTTCACCCCTTCAGCCGGTTTAGTGAAGGAGTAAATTCACACTGAGAGTACCGAGACTAGTCCAGCTCTGGAGACAATGGGAACCATTACTTATACCTCTGATTTTTCCATTTTCTCTTTCAACACAATTTGTGTTAGAAAGTCTTTTAGTAGGGTTTGGGAAATGTAAAAAAATCCTCAGTGAAAACTGTCAATTTGCTAATGCAAAGTGACACTAAACCCAAACATTTTCATTTACCAGTCATCAAGATCATCTGTGTGCAAGGTTACACAGTCTACAGTATATACTTTTCCTGACACTGAAACAGAGCTAGCTGTGTCAGACCACCAGAGACACTTTTACAAAGACCAAGTTGTTCTTACCTGATACCGATAAACGAGTTGCTGCGATCTCTCATCTTCGTATCATGGAAATGTCACCCAGAGTGAAAGTCAGGAATTGTTCACCCACACCTGAATGTCCTTTCACTCCTGCCCTGGTGAAACACCACTCCCTTGCTGTGAAATTTCTTTCTATCAAAGCTCACCTGACATTGTTGCTCCCTTCAGTGTACAGCAATCCCTCACTAGAAGTCTTTGAAGCAACATGATCTTTTCCCTCTACTGCTGCGAAGCACTGGAGAGGACAAGAGGAGGGGTTCCTAGCTCCCAGTCTTACTAAAGCTTATCATCACCAAAAATGAAGGTCTCTCTGCCCGTGACTTGAAACAGTCAAGTAAAGTCTGGCTATGGCAACGATATTTTTTTTACTGGGCAGAAGTTAACAGACAGCTTGAGCCAACTTAATTGCATGCTGTATGTTCCCTGATATCCTTCATGCTGGCTCCATGACCGAGTACTACAATTAATCCAGAAGAAAATGTGTAAGTTTGTAATCTGTCAGGTCAACAAAGTTCAATCGACTCAGCAAAAGTTTTCAAGATGAGACTGAGCCAACACAAGGACAAGCGTAGTAGCACATGGCAAGGACAAACAGGACCTCCTTCTTTTAACACCAGGAGTTATTAGGAACAGTTCAAATATCTTGAGTAAATCACACCATAGTCTTTTACAAGCTTGCAGTCAAATTAAGTGTGGGAAAAAGAAACCAACTAAAATTAACAACCAAAACCCATTAGCTGCAAAAGATTCACAGCAGCAGTGCATCCTCAAGAACTTTATGGCACACTTTTTAAAGACATGAGCCAGTGAAGTACCTTTGAGGAAATGTGCTTTTATAGCAAGAGGAGCATAGAATATAACCTTCAGGTACAAACTGACCTAGTAATTTCAGAGAAGAAAGAGACTACTAATTTGTGACGAAAAAATTCAAGTAGGAGATTGCATGTTATAAACAGGGAAGAGACGTACTAAAACCTTACAATGGCATGGCAGCAAGGAGGGACTGACAGGTTTTAGATCATGATACTGCTTGTATCAATGTTTGGGACCTTCAGCTCTGGAATATCTGCCTCTCCTTACAAGTATCTGCCCTATTTCTCTACTGAAGAAGAGCTGAAAGGAAATGCTGCATGGAGTTTCTTGACATTGCAAGAAAAAAAAAGAAATCCAAAACCCAAAGGTATGACCTTGGCACATACTTCTAAGACAGACATATATACCTGTCCCCTCTCATATAAAAACTGGCAGATGGATGCATCCTCAAACACAATAGGCAAAGACTAATCAGTATCAAAACCATTATGCACACAACTTTTCCTCTAGCATTTTAATTTTATACCACTGTAAAGCCATCAGCTTTGCCAGGACAGGTTGTAATTTACACTGCTACAAGTGAAATCAGAATGAGGACAAAATACAAGAGAGCGGTCAATGTACACCTGACCCTACAAATTTAAAGGGAACAGATTTTTTTTTTTTTTTTAAAGTATTTACCTGACACTCAAGAAGCAAGAGAGAAAAAAACCTCTAAAGTTAGGCACAACGTATACTTTCAAAGACTGTCAGTCACAAAACAGGATGAGATTGCTGGGATCAGCAAATTGTTTTGGCTTTCCAGCATTTTCAGCCTGAGATGAATGCCATCATGACTAATGGGATTTCCCATTAAACATGGCCTAAGGAAATCAGACATTTCAGAAAACAAATCAGCACTTTATATAAATATATTGATGCCTAAAATTAGATTTACTTTTTTTGTATGAAGCTGACTACAATATACTCACTTATTAGGAATACAGCTTAAGAAATGCTACTTTACCTTATTTATCTGTACTTGCAACCTTTGGCTGACTATGTACCCAATACTACAGAGAAAGTGCTATCACAGCAGCTAGGTCAAAACTGAGCATTCAAACAGTGTTAGACTTATGGAAAAGAAAAATAAAGCAGAATATTAAAGAAAAGGTAAAGAAAATATCCTGTAACCGCATTTAGAAGTGATGGCAAATCTCTTGTCATTCCAGCTTTGCGTTTCCTACCGTGATTATAGTGCTACAGTCATCTATCAATCACACCCATTCAGTTTTGGTTTCTCTTACAGAGGAAGATGGACGTAATTCTTCTCTGAACTGCTCCACTGAGCTAATGCGGCATGAACCCCAGCTTACCTGAGTCTAAGTGCCACGGGTCGGTAGCGGCCGACATTGGTGGGATGGTGAGTGGAGATGCTCCGCAGTTGGATTCCACCAGTTCTCCTTGGATGTGGACGTGAGAGGAGGCGTTGGTAGGTCTCAGAGCTGCTTTGAGTGGAGCAATCTGGTTGAACTGTACTCTCGATAGGCAGCCAGTGAATCCTGGGGTGTTGTATTTATATATATCTTGGTCAATCTTCCCAATTTCTACAGGAAATTAAGGAGGGGAAAAAAAATAAATTAATCAAAACAATTCATTGCTTTGGAAAGCACGGCTGGTCTGAACACTTGATTCCCAGAGCTCAGTTCCCAGGTTCCTCTCACAGGAGACTGAGAACGTGCCAGACCCTGCCAGGTTTCTTTACATTTCATTACAGATTAAAGCTGGAAACCTTCAGGCCTTGATGTGACTCGGTTTCACTGCTATGCTATCATTAAAATGAAAGGCTGGATGTGAAGGAGTCATCAGAGAACAAAAGACCAGGAAAAAAAATCTTTTCCCCAAGAAGAGGTGGCGAAAGAGAAGGTAGAGGGACAGTCATCGCCAGGGTCTCTCCTCCCAGCTGAAGCTGCTGCTGTGAGAGATGCCCCTTCCTTCACCCTGGCCCATCACCCTCTAGCCCCTCTCCGTGGGCTGGGACCATTCCTGTTCACTCCTGTTCCCCTTCTGTCTCCTCGCCAGGAGACCATGTCTCCCTTCACCCGGTGACTAAGCATCCCTTTGCCAGGGGACCAAGGATCCCTTCGGCCCGAGATGGAAAACCGCCCCTCTCTGGCCTCCTTCCTTCCCCCGCAGCGGTGAGAGGTGGCAGGAGCCCGTCCACCCCTGCTGCAGGCTGAGGAGCACCATGCATGCTCCTGCGCTTCCGCAACCGGGCCTACGTCGGCTGAGAGCCCGCCGCAAGGCCATTTTACACCTCGCTGCTGTGGGCTGATAGGCAAACCGGCAGCTGGCATCCATGAGCAGAGCACAGGGCTCCGCCGTTGCCCTCTAAAACAGCCGCTGTCCCTCAAGTAGCTTTCTCCCTTCTAAAGCACCAGTTAAAATGATCCCAAAATGGTAGCCGTAAAATGCAGCAGATGCCCTTACTACCCAGGAACCTGCAGGCCGCTCACAGCTGTTTTAATTCTGCCAGGACCTGTTGCAACAGCCTGAGTCACAACCGAAACGAAACCAGAACTCTGTCAGCTGGCTGTGTTAGGGGGGGTATTAACATTTCAAAGCCTGACCGCGGTGTCTAATACAATATTTACATGCCAGTGAGGAATCTGGCTTCCTTTCTTCTATGGTAGCACAGAGTGAAGGAAAAGGACACACGGCAGGATCACGTTTGTGCTGTACCAGGGAGTATTGCTCCGTAGGCACTGAGACACTTCAAACTGCCTTTCCCTGGGTTGGCAGGGACAGGAGTTAACATTTGGCCTTTGAAGTCAGTGGAAAAAGTCGTACTGAGCTGAGCAAAGCAAGATGGCATCTCAGGGACAGAGAACAGGGAGCAACCCCAGGTTGTTTGAAGGCAACCTTTTCAGATAGGAACAATGATAAGGGTTTGAAAAATGGTGTTTCTGGAAAAAAAAAAAAAGAGATCTGTAAATCACAAGATTGTGTCATAAAAAAGAAAGAAAAGAAAACAGGTGGGACAGAGAGGGTTCTCCTGAGAGGTGTGAGGACAAAGTGGGAAAGAGTTTTATTGTAAGAGTTTGGGGAAGAGCAGGGAACCAAAGCACATCCGAGTTTGAGTTTTGCTGAAAAAAAAACCCAAATCAGAATTATCAGAAAATGCATTATTAACCTTTTGGATTAGTCTGTGTTCAGTTCTAACCAAACCAGGATCAATTATATGAGGTCTGAGCTGCTGACTGTGCTCCCTAAAAACTACCACGACACATATGTCAGTGCTATTCGTAAGAGTACTGAGGGTTTTGCATTAGGGATACGTATGAGGAGTTTCAAGGCTACTAACCAGGCAGGGCATTTCAAGTACGCTTCATTTTTTGGGTTTATGTGTTAACATGAAGTGGGGGTGGAAACTGGACAAATCTTGAGCACGATTAAAACAACTTCTTGGGTTTTCACAGAGAACTAAGCTGTACCTTTTCTGTCTTTGCAACCGTATTAGAATGATAAACATACAACATTTAAGTGTCCCTCCCCAGCTAGCATAAGGACAGAAAAGGAAGATGCATAATCTGAAAATTACTTGCATTAGATCCTTCTGTGATCCACTGTACAAGAATGGATTTTCTATTCCCCCCCATTCTCCCTTTTCTTCCACGTTTGAGAGCATCCTTTCTCTGCTAGTGCTTATCCATCCTGTATCAATATTACAGCCACATTTCACAAGCTGGCAGTGAGCAGCGATTGTCACCTGTGACAAAGTGGAAACATGCTCAGGACTCAGCTAGAGACTGGCTTAAATGCTTTAAAATAATTGCATTAGTCATATGGGTCTTTCATCCAGCTCTCCTTTAAAAAAGTAGCTTGACCAAACAGTTAGCATCATCTCCTGCAAAAATTTGATAATAAGTAAAAAAACTCACACATGCATGCACACTTTCCACAGTTAGTAGAAAAGCTGTATGAAAGCCAGAGGTCATGCATTTGAATGCTACTTGGAGACCATATAACTCGGACAAGGTTCCTATCTGACCACAATATTCATTGTCTCTTACTTCAATAAAATATTCATGGTATATTCAGCAAACAGCTGCAATTTAGAGTAATCCTTATAATCTAAGGAACAATTAGAAGACCATATTTCTCTTTAAACACTGCAACCACTGTCAATAACAGACTAGTGATTACCTTTTATTCACATTTTTATATATTCTGTGGTACTTCATGCAGCAATGCTAATAGCCTCCCACTCACAATCCTGAATGACAAGAACAAAAATCTGTGAATACGATTGTGCTACTTTAGCAGCTTCAGCACCATTCTTCTCTAACTCTGTGAATAATAAGTGATGGATACTAGATCCTGAAAGAATTAAGGAAAAAAAAATCAAAAAACCCTAAAAAGGCACCTTGCTGAAGACCTGCATTTTTGTTTAAAACTTTCCACAAATGATGGTTGTGCAAGTCACCTCATGCAAATTTACCACCAGCTCACATCACATCAGTGCTAAAACAAGATGGATTGACTTCTTCGACTGTGAACATGTTCCTTCCCGTGCGCGTCCCATGGGGCTCAGCACACCAATACTCTCTGATGTTAGGCCATTATACTTTGCCTCCCTGTGTATTTGAGCCTGCTATAAACCAATCCCTGGAGAGTGTAATGATTATATAATGAAATATGCCTTTGTTATCATGACTAAAATTCAATTTTCTCCCTATAACAAAGAGGGAAGAAAAAGAAAAGATGACGACAATCACATTATTTAAAAAAGGGAAATGTACAATGCAACTACTTTGCATTGTTCTAATTTCCAGCACATAAGCTAGTGCAAAGTCATATAAATATTATAGTATATAGTATTATCATTACCTAATAGCAACATTAGTATTATTGCTTTCAGATCTGATGCAGCAATCTTCTGCTGGCACCCTACCCACAAGCATTTCTGTAATGAAAGACTTCCAAAAATACCACTTAAAGGCCTTTTTTAACTTCAGCTGATTTTAACCATTTGCTCCCTTGACCACATAACCTGCTGACTTGAGATGAAGACCATGATTACAAGACAGAGACCATTCAGGCAAACCCATTCTAGCACAGACGCACTGCAGTACACAAATCCTTAACACTGAACATTCACACAATAACTATGCAACTACCTACCCAGATTACTTAAACATTTTAAAAATGTATATAACTAGCACACAGTATACTAAGAAACTCAGAGATGTTGCCTCATGTCTTGTGTCTTATCATTCACTGAAGATATACTTAACATCAAGTATTTGTTATTTATGTTTTGTTATTTCTTTAACAGTAAAAAGATATAAGAATTTAATCCTCAGTTACTCATTTTGATTTGAGGGCTTATTTCCCTTGGCTGTGGCAGAAACATGCCACACAGTGATGAAAATAAGACCATTTCTCTATTGAAAATTATGTGCTACTACTGAAGAAGCTCTTTTCCACCTAGGTGAAAAGATGTAAAGAATATCTATTTTAAAGCATGACACAAGGCACCATTAATGAGTACCCAACAAGTTGAAATTCATTACTCTATGAATCTAGAAGAAAACAAGCAAAAAAAAAATTGTATAGAGGAAAATTTGTGGCTGGATCTGTGCATAAGTAACAAATGTATAAGTAGCACATCACGATACTAAATCAGTGTAATTAGGTTATCTGTTTTTTAAGCCTTTTTGCCCTTACTACATTATCCGTAGATAATGTAGATGTGGCTTCTGCCTAGGCACTATTACAAGACAAATAAATAAACAGTTTGGTTCAGATTATTACCAAAGTTGACCTAGTTAGCATGCATCTGATGAGCTACTTGTAGAAGCAGACACATTGCCAAATACAGTTTTTATCTTCTGTTTCTCTCCCTTCTCTATTTTCCATATCTACCAGTAAAAGAATTAGAGTAGCTCAAAGGGCCATGGCGCTTCTAATAGCACAAAAGGTTACTTCACTGCTGGAGAGGTCCAGCTCCGCTTAATTCTACCATTTATTTTTTATACATTCTTGTATCACTTAGACTAGAGAAAAACGACAGCCTGATTTAGCAGGAAAAAAAAAAAAAGATATGTTTGGTCCCACAGCCCTGAGCAGGTTTTTGATAGACAAAACAGAAACGCTTTCGATTTATGTAAAGTTCCCCATGTGAGGATCCTAGAATGACTCACACGTACACATGGCTCTGCAGCACAAAGCTATACAATCCAGCACAGCACTGTGCCATACCAGTACAGACATGTGGAAAGACGGCCGTGGACTGCGTTACACACTGGAAAGAGGGAGAGGAGAGGGAGTCAGCCATGAGGGAAGAGGGAAACACTCCCACTGTAAATCTTTGTAAACCCACAAAAACTGTTTTTATTAAACATCCGTGCTGAATAGCTTTGCTGAATAGCTTTTCTATTCTAGCTGATCTGTACATTTTTTTTCTTTATAGGACTCCGAAATGCAGATCAATACAGAAAGTTATAATAAATTCTGAATCTTGCACAGTGTTCAATACATACAGAGAGGATCAAGGCATCTATTTATTGTGAATTATGTTCCATTAGGAAGGAAATGTAACAGA